GAAGGTAAAAAGTGCCTCAAGCAAAACAAAGCAGGAACAAGCTAAACCTCCAGGCGACACAGCGCACAGCGAGAAGCTGCACAATCACACACAAAACACAAGCCCGAAAAGAACCAGCACTGCTTGCACCCAGACGCGGCAGCGCCAGCCCAAGCGCGAAGCCGCGCAGACAAGCAGCCGAAGGGTCAGGCAATCAAGCAACAAGCAGCAGGAGCATGCAGGAGGAATAACATCCCTTAGACGCGATACCCGGAGGCAGCCGACTGACCACTGTCAGTCGAGACGTCCGCTGCCGCCACAAAGCGGGCGGCCGCGGACGGAGAAAGGGCAGCCGCCGACAAGGAGCCGGCGCTGCCCGGGGGTCCGCCTGGGGCAGCGGACGGAGGGAGGCTGGACACTGGAACACGGTACCGCTCGAGGTAGTCCTCCTCGCTAGCCTCCGAGTCAGCGGTAGCCGAGTCAGCGGTAGCCGCCCGTGACGGCGGCGACGCCGCAGCAATGCCCAAGGACCGGCGTGACCCGACCGATGCCGGGGAGGAAGCAGGCGAGCTCGGACCAGCACCTTCTGCCAGTAAATCTTATCAGAGATCCCTTAGACGCGATACCCGGAGGCATCCGACTAGTCGAGACGTCCGATCCACCGCCGCCCGGCGTAAAGCTGGCGGCCGCGGACGGAGAAAGAACACTGCGGCTGCCGACAAGGAGCCGGCGCTGCCCGGGGGCCGCCGCGGCCGCCGCGGCAGCGGACAGAGGGGCACAGGAGCACGGTACCGCTCGAGGTGACGCATCCAGTCCTCCTCAGCACTTTTTACCTTCTGCCAATAAAACTTAGTACACTAGCCTCCGAGTCAGCCGCAGCTCGGACCAGCAGCAAGCACCCCAGTGGTGTCGAGCTCTCCGGAGGCATCCGACGTCACAGTGAGTGCGTCGGCTCCACTCTGGATGTTTCCGTTTTTCCTGCCGGTTTTGCTTGTTGCTTCACCGGGCACTTTTTACCTTATGCGAGGGAACTGAATGAGTAAAACTCAGACCCCGCCGTATAGTAAACAGCTGGGTGTATACCCTCAGAGGGCCCGTGACGGTGCCGCACGGTGCTGGCAGTGTTAACCGGGGTCTGGTTGCCGCGGCAGTGCTCAGTGGCCGGGCGTTACTTTCGGGCACAGGCTTGTGTTTTGCGCGGCCAAAGCACAGTGTGCTCCACGGACGGTGACGGTACCGTACCGTACCGGGTCAGATGGCGCGGCCGGGCCCGTCCGGACCGTCCGGTACTGTCACTCGGACCCGGGCCGGCCGGGCGTTCATGCCCGGCAGTTGATGGAGCGTATGCCAGCCGTGCCAGTCAGATAGCGCCGAGTTAACAAAAACTCTCCTGTAAACCAAAACGACTTACGTGGCAGGCGGCAATGTAGTACGTGTGACGAAGAGGAGGCCTTCCTAGCCGTCTTGCTAAGGTCCCCTCATGTCTGGATGCTTGGGTTTCACATCCTAGCATACAGTCTATCTCTCATGTGCTCCTCAATTCTGGTTTCGTGTGCATTAAACTCGGTCTTGAGCAAAAACTGTCTTGTTGAGATTAAGGTCGATGTGATATCTGCGTGACTTTGGACTAGTACAAGTATAACAAACTTGTATTCCGTCGGTTATGGGCCCCGATTACATGCTCAATCATGTTGATCTTATGTTTGGTTAGTTGAATTGTTTACTGGAGTTTTTTCTTTCTTGGTGTTGTTTCCGTTGCTGTTGAAAATTCATGCAATTCTATCAAGCCTTACACATTCGGATGACTCCTCTCTTCAATCAGGCTCTCTCTCTAGCCGCAAGTTGTTTAGGCCTCTCATCTCAGCCTCAATTTGTTTGATTGATCTTCGAATAGGAAAAACAAGCCTTTCCCCAGCCAGATTGGTCGGTCGAATATCTGCTTAACCGTGTGGAAACGCACTTGAAGCTGATTCGATTCTTATTTTAATCTTCTTGATCTTTGAGTAGGATCAAATGGAACTACCAGGAGATCTGGCGGAAGTTTCATGTCATGGAGCTAGGCTGTGGCATGCATAACTGGAGCTACTTCTGGATCGGCGAACAAGGTACTACTGCACAACAATCTTCAGATGCCTTGAAACGGATGTTCCAATCTCGCGGCAGCAATCTCTGGTCACAAGTTCTTTACGGTTCAAAAATTTATCTTTTGGTCTTCAAATGCCGGCGGGCACGCTCTCTCTCTCTCTCTCTCTCTATCTCTCTCTGTTATTCTCTCCTCAGACTCTCTTATCTTATCCTCCTTCTCTCGTCATTGCATCAGCTCGCCAGGCATCTCCCCTTATCTCTGCACTGCACATCTAATAGCCCTGCATGAAAATCTTCTTCAGAATGGACAATCTTTGAATGGTTATTGCCCACTCAGCATGACTGTGAACTTGACGTTGTATCATCGTATCTTGACTTGGATCTGCTGACATTCTCTTGTTTGAGTGACTTTCTGACGTCCGATGTAACGTACTATTTCAGAAACTCGGGGGGAGGATGGAGCGTATGCCAGCCGTGCCAGTCAGATAGCGCCGAGTTAACAAAAACTCTCCTGTAAACCAAAACGACTTACGTGGCAGGCGGCAATGTAGTACGTGTGACGAAGAGGAGGCCTTCCTAGCCGTCTTGCTAAGGTCCCCTCATGTCTGGATGCTTGGGTTTCACATCCTAGCATACAGTCTATCTCTCATGTGCTCCTCAATTCTGGTTTCGTGTGCATTAAACTCGGTCTTGAGCAAAAACTGTCTTGTTACAACTAAGGTCGATGTGATATCTGCGTGACTTTGGACTTTTTACTCAAAGTTAAGTTAAAAATCAGTACGAGGACAATCAGGAGAGTCGAGGAAGGCTTGACCCTGACACTGTCGCACGGACTAGTACAAGTATAACAAACTTGTATTCCGTCAGTGCCACCGGGTCACGGCCCGGCCGGGAGTTAAACTCAGCAGAACTTGTCGGAGCCCTTGCGTCCCTTCTCTCTTTAACCCCTCCTTTTCCCACAAAAAGTTCTATTTAGTAAGGGTGGGTAGACACCACTAGAGTCCATACGGATGCAGGACATGAAAGATGGAAGCAGGAAAAATCTCCTCCCGCCCCCTCCCCCTCTCCCTCTCCCTCCTCCTCCCCAGCACCAGCACGAGCACCAGCACCAGCACGAGCACGAGCACGAGCACGAGCACCAGCACCAGCACGAGCACGAGCACGAGCACGAGCACGAGCACGAGCACCAGCACCAGCACCAGCACCAGCACCAGCACCAGCACCAGCACCAGCACCAGCACCAGCACCAGCACCAGCACCAGCACCTCCCTTCCTCCTCATCGCTCTTTTCCTCTTTGTTGTCGTTAATCTTTCCTCCTTTTCTACCTCCTCTTAGCTTCAGCTCCTTCAGCTCCTTCAGCTCCTCTCTTGCTTCTGATCATACAAGCAAGAAACTCTTGATTGATCTCTTTCATACTTTCCTCCCTCCCTCCCACACCTCGTCTCATGCTCTCTTCTCCCTTCTGAAATTGCTAGCAGCTTAAAGGCGCTGATTCAAGACGTCCATCGCAGTCGAGCCTTCACACCCTCACACTCCCCCTACGTAATTCTGTCGCGCCAGCTCCTGCTCCTGCTCCTGCCCTTGCCCCTGATTCTCCCTCCTTCCTCCCTCCTCTCCCTCCTCTCCCCCCCCTCTCCCTTTCCGTTTCCGTCTCTGCTTCTCCCTCTTCTCTCTCTCCTTTGCCCCTCCTTCCGCTTTTCCTCCCTCTTTTCTTTCCTTACCCATAATGTTTTTGGAGCAGGTCGGAACCTTCCACCGAGGGTATGCAGCGTCCAACGCTCGCGTGGCGCCAGGAGAAGAAGGTGAAGGAGGGAGGGAGGGAGGGAGATCAGTTCTTATGGAGGCGAAGAGTTTGAAGAGCGAAGAAGGACTATTATGCCGCACCAACGATGGTGATGATATAGACCTTGTTCCCCCTCGTTCTTCTCTCCCCCTCCTCCTCTCCCTCGCCTCACCCTCTTGTAGGAAGAAACTCGCCGTCTTGAGTCGCTGCCAGGAGTGCAACTCTTACACGTATCTGCTCCTCTCATGCCAGCCTTGTCTATTTCCATCTTCAGCTCAGCTTCTTCCAGTTGTACTTCTCATCATGCCATCGTCACGGCGCAAGAAGCGCTCAACTTGCTTAGCACCAAGACCTCCTCGTCCTCGTCCTCCTCGTCCTCCTCGTCCGCTGTCACCAAGGGTGAGTTCTGCTGACCTTCGCATCTTGTCCTCATCCTGCGCCAGGTAGCTGTCAGCTCCACCGGCCCATCAAGAAGACTCTCAGCTTCGCCGACATCCTCGACTACCAGCGTCTCCCTCAACCTCCCGAGCTCTGCGGCCTCCAGGCCGTCGTGAAAGGCACGGGAGTCCGGTGACTATGAGAGACCTTTCTCTGTCTGCGATGATGCCACAGAGCTAGAGCTTCTTTCTTCCTTGTGTTGGCTCCTCCCTCGTCTCTTCTTCTTAGACGAGATGAGTAGAAGAGACCCTCCTCCCTCGTCTTTTGCTTGTCTGCGTCCCGCTCGCCTCGCTGTTGGATTTCATCTGTTCTCACGTGCAGCAGCATCCTAGAGAAGCTCGGAGAAGGGACGTTCGCGCGGGTCGTGCTCGCCATGAGCGAGAGGCAGGCGCCTTGACGTCTCGTTCCTTCCTCAAGTGACTGCAGGGAAGAGGACGGGGAACGGCGACGCAACTTCACGCTAGTGGACCGACCGCCCAAGGGAACTAAACTGGTGAGATGGAGGAGGGGAAGGGGGATGGGGAGAGGAGGAGGGAGAGGAGGAGGGGGGGGAAGGAAGCAGAGGAAGACGGAGAGAGAGGAGGAGGGTATTCATGATCAGAAAAATGAATCCGCTTTAGGTACTCAAATGTATCCGGAAGGAACGAGATGAAGAAGCGACCGCATGCTTAAGCCGCGAGGTAACAGACGTGAAGAGACGACTAACAAGGGGAGAGAAGGCTGGAGAAGGAGGAGGGAGAGGAGGAGGGAGAGGAGGAGGGAGAGGAGGAGGGGGGGGAGGGAAGGCTGGAGGCTTCATGTTCAGCTGTTTTCTTACAGATCCGAATTCATTCACGTTGTCGTCATCCGAACATTCCGAGGCTTTACGGACATTACGAGAGTGAGGAGGTGAGTCAGAGTTGAAGGAGAGGGAGGGAGGGAGGGAGGGAGGGAGGGAGGGAGGGAGGGAGGGAGGGAGGGAGGGAGGGATGGATGGATGGATGGAGGGAGGGAGGGAGGGAGGGAGGGAGGGAGCGAGTAGGAGTGATGAGCCGGTGGCGTCGTTGGGTAGGAGAGGGGGGAGGGGAAGGGAATATTCGTGATGATGATTGTCAGTATGTGACGCTGGTGATGGACTTCATTGACGGCAAGGAGCTTCGCCGGGTGACGTTCAAGTCATTCCTTCTACTTGCATTCTCTCCTCCTCCTCCTCCTCCTCCTCCACTTCCTCTTCATTCATATTCCCGTGACTCACTGGCCGGCAAAGATTTTGGATGAGCGCAGATGTCTTCCTGAAGAAGAAGTGCGGCGAATCTCTTTCCAGGTGCCTCCCCTGCACGACTCGTGACGAGGGGAGGGAGCAGTGTGGAGAGGGACGAGGGAGGACGGAGAGGAAGGAGGGAGACATGGGAGGAGGACAAGGGAGGAGGACAAGGGAGGAGGGAGCAGGTCCCTCATGCTTCTTCTCGCACGTTCTGTCCTGCTTTGACTTTTCCCTCCTGCAGATTCTCGGAGCTCTGCAGTACATGCACAGCCTGTCGCTGCTGCACTGCGACGTCTCTCCTCGCAACCTGCTGGTACAGCTGCTCCCCTTGTCTTGTCTTGTCTTGTCTTGTCTTGTCTTGTCTTGTCTTGTCTTGTCTTGTCTTGTCTCGTCTCGTCTCGTCTCGTCTCGTCTCGTCTCGTCTCGTCTTGTCTTGTCTTGTCTTGTCTTGTCTCGTCTTGTCTTGTCTTGTCTTGTCTTGTCTTGTCTTGTCTTGTCTTGTCTTGTCTTGTCTTGTCTTGTCTTGTCTTGTCTTGTCTTGTCTTGTCTTGTCTTGACTTCTCTTTGCTCCTCCAGGTTTCCTCCAGCTCTCATGCCTTTCTCATCGACATGGGACTTGCCCGCGAGGAGGCTGAGGCGGAGGCCTCGCCCGAGGGATGCCCATGCAGGGCTGCAGGTATACGGGGAGGAGGAGGAGGAGGAGGAGGAGGAGAGGAGACAAGACAAGACAAGACAAGACAAGACAAGACAAGACAAGACAAGACAAGACAAGACAAGACAAGACAAGACAAGACAAGACAAGACGAGACA